TATTTTCTTCATATGAAACTGTGTGGTTTTGATGGGTCTTGAGTCGTGGTCCGAAATGGTTTTGTTACCTTGTTTTTTGGCAGCTTTTTGAATACTTTTTGTATTGCATCCTTAGAAAAAACATTCTCGTGTCATCTTCAAGAGGCCTTACAGTGATGGTGTTTTAGTGCCACATATTATTGGCAGACTTCGCTGCAGTCCATTAATGCATCAGAAAGATGTAGCATAATCTGTCATAAATAATCCATAATCAGCCCATTCCCTTCATGTTACTGATGTATTCCAGCTGACAGACTCGTGGTCAATTTGTACGAGATAATTCAATCATTAAATCATATTGGTTTTTCCATTTGGTAAGATCTGACTGAGGATTGAATTGGTAGACAGGGTGGTCTTAGCAAAGAGCTGACAGACTGTCATTTTTTAAAGCATGGTTACAGTTCACAGATCTTCCTCAAGTTCATTAAGTCTCAGTGACTACAGAGACTAAACAGTAGTTTTAATAGTTTCCTGGAAGGCTCGTAATTTGTTCCTCTTGTAAAACTGCACTGGTACGTTAGTCTGTTTGATATGTCTTGCATGGCTACTGTTTTTCTGTGACTACTATTTTTTTTTTTTTTAATTCCTTTTCCTTTGCTTCAGGTTAAAAAGATGGGAAATGCAGAAAGCAATGCCTATCAGAATCACCTTTCCAGATTTCTTCCTGAGGAGCAGTCTGACATCGACGGAGTATTTGATACCTTATCAGGATTGAGTGGCTCATCTGGAGCAAAAAATGGCAAAGCTACAAAGAAAACAGTGACTCTGGCAGCACTACAGGCAAGACAATCTATTATTCCTGATACATCTGGGCTGTAGCGCATCAAACATAATTCCAGAAAGAAACTAAAGATGTGGCAATAGTTACTTTTTCAGGATTGCTCATCTCAATTTAATACTTAATGTTTTGGGGCAGGATGGACATTTAACTTTTTCTTACAGTTTAACATGAGTAGTGAATTTCAAGTTTGTATTTGTCTCTTACATTGCACCGTTGGGTCAATTTGCAGCTTTCCTGATTATGAAGTAAGTTGGGATGTATGAAAATATTTTTACAGAAACCTGAAAAATGAGAAGAATATTATTCCCCCTGGAGTCCGTAGTGTGTGATTATTTTCTTGAGACGCTATCACAAAGTCAGTTTGTATTTGGTTCTGCCTTTCCCCCTCAGTTGCATCACTGTCTCTGATCTTTTCACTGGCTTTAAAAGGAGAGAATTCAATTTTGCTTGATTAAGCTGTGGCTCCCTGTTTTAGCTAATTAACATCATTATGCTTTCTGATTAACTTTGCATTCATTTTCTAATCAAGAAAGAAGAGGAAAATGATTCGTTGCAATACTTGATAACTTCAGTTAGGCAGAAACCAAGTGGCCAAATGAATGTAGTATTTAAAGTGCATTTTTACATACGCTCCACAGCTAATGGCATCAAATTAAAACTCCAGGAAAGAAGCCGGGTATTTTAAGGCATTTAGCAATGCATCTGCATACAGACCGGCTTTAGCCTTCCTCCAGCCTGGTTGTTTATGAGCTATCTCCAGTTTGGAAGCAGTATTGCTGCTGCCCAGCCTTTCAACTCCCATACAACCAAGAACCTGGTCCTTGGTGTCTTATTTTATTGGGATCTGGAAGAAGTATTCTTTCTAGCTTTGCCCCTAGGTCAATACGATGTTTGATGAACGTTTGTCTTTTCCCTTCTGGCCTTTTTGTTTGCCAGTGTAAAATCTTTTGAAAGACTGCCTGCAGGTGCCTAATTCCTTAGCACCGGGACTATTGCAGTGGCATGCCTGCCTCGTAGGTGTCTATGCTCATGCCTGGCCTAGATTGATACGTGGCAGATTTGATCTAGCAACAGTCTGGTAACATTGACGGGGCCCCAAGCATCACCTCGGGTACTCTGCTTAGGCTCAGAGCTTTACTAGGAGGAAACTACATGGCTTCTGGACCAGAGCAGGCCGCAATGTGTAGCTTGGAAAGCAGGTAGAGCAGGTATCTCGAGATACTTTCCTGAAGCCATTTAAGACAAGGATTCTATACTGTCAAAAGTGTGTTTGTTGGATGTTTATTAAAGACTCCCTTTTTACAGTCCTTCTTTTTCTCACCCCAGGTCTACTCATTGGAATAGCTATAAGCAATACAGAACAGCGCAACAAAGTTAGTGGTGGGTGGGAAAGGGTGGGGAGTAGGTAGGCAAAACTGCAGTGTGAAGTAAAAAGCCCTTGAGTATAGTGTTTTAAATTGTGTTCCCTGCTGCTCGTCTCACTTTTAGAAAGCCTCTTAAAGACAGCTGTACCCCCTGTGACTCCCCCTCCCTCCATATGAAGCGCCCTAATGTGCAAGACTGTGGCTGCTAATTCTGCTTCTACTGAAATCAATGGGATTTTTACCACTGACGTCAACAAAAGCAGGGTAAAGCTTGGCATATTGGATCTCACCCTATATGCACAGCAATGGCCATTAACATCAAATAGGAACAGCCCTGGTGGCTTCGACAGGAGTGGTATTGAGCCAGCAATAGATTGGTAATAGCAGCTCCACTGAAAAGAGCTGGAGTGCTTTTACGCAGGTGGAGCTCCATTGATTTCAGCATATCCCCACTGGCCTACACCCCTGTATATAAGAGTCAAGTCAGGTGTTCAGCATGTTATGCACAGTGCTTTGCGCAGTGAAGACTCTGTGTAATCATGTCCTAGTGTATGGATGTATTTTAGACGGTTTATTTTTAAACCGTGTAATTATCTTGAACACTGTGAAAGTTTCTTGAATCCAGAGTCAGCTCTTTCCCAGAGTGTTGTGATGTATGATGATGTATACCACTTAGAGTCCAATTCAAAGGGCCAGTCATGCAATCTAGATGAATAAGTTTTGATTTTGACTGTCTTAACATCAGGGATGCCTTATAAAAATCAGACGATTGCGGTTTTGTTCCATGCTTGAATTAGATGTTGCTAGGTGGAGGAAAGCTTCTTAGAATTGTTTCTACGCGTGCATGTAGGGTTAAATGCATTGCCTGCATTGTCTTAAGGCCAAAACTGTGATAGGGAAAAAAACTTACTTTCTCTTTGTTTTCAAGTGTCTGTGAGCTCCACTATCAAAAGCAGGGCTGAAACACCATTTTCAAGGTTGGACTGGCAGAGTTGTAAACCTTTAAACAGAGTTATCCTATAGAAATCCTTTGCTGATATCCTGTTAACACTTTACAGTGTTGTTTTTTTAAAGTCCATGGCATTTGTAGAAAAACAGGATCAACTGAAATCACTAAACTGTACTGGAAGGGAGATACTATAAAAATAGAGATTTTTTTTTTTTTTTTTTTTTTTGGAAAACCAGTCCTTTGACAAAAGTTTGTTGCTGATTGTAGATACTTGGTATTGAAAGCCTTCATTCGTAGCAGTATATCTCAGCACAGATTAGCTGGAATACATTAGATATTCTTCATTTTTTAAACCATGTTCTTTGCTCTTTTTCTCATTGCAGGCGTATACGCGGGAGCCATTACCAGAGCAAATGACTGTTCGGTTATACAACGGAATGAAAAGTATTGACCTGACTGGGAAATCATCCGGGCTGAGCGAACAGATTGCTAAGGAGCAGTTTGTAATTTTTATGTCAAACCTCTTAAAAGGGAATGCAGATGAGAAGATTACCATAGTAATGAGAATGATCTCCAAGACAGGAGGGCCTGTGAAGGGCAAACAAATCCAAGAGGTAAACAGGCGGTTAAATGGGTATTGGGGGGACAGTAAAAAGAACAGAAATGGGTAGGTAATTTGCAGGTAGTCTTTAGAGCACAAGATTCAGAACAGGGATTCCTGACTTTTGTAATTTTTTTTTTTCATTCTCTTTACCACTGACTTGCTGATCTGGGACAAACAGTGTGGGCAAACCAGGTTGTATGGAATGACCATTTCAGCTGTGGTGGCCTTTTCCATGCTGACTTGCCTACTTTGAGAACCAGGATCTGGATTTTGAGGAGCGCACTGACTGATTAGTCTGATGGTTCGCAGGCTGACTGAAGGTTGCAGAGACTGGCTATATTTAAGAGCCAGCAAGGGTTGAGGTGTGACTCGTGCTTCTGGGAACTGAGCAAAATGCTTTCTAGAGCTTCAGTTGCAGGATGGATGTGTGAATCAAATATGTAGCTTGCAAGGTGGAAGAATGGGGTCTGACAAACCCATAATTCACCAGCAGCTCCTACCACTGCAGAATTTGGACCTCCCCTCCCTCTTTCATGCCGTATTTTATGGAGATGGTTTTTGAAGTAACGTTCACAAAATGTCTTGAAAAAGGACACTTTTCAAGACCTATGACACTAAAATAGCATTTCTGGTATTTCTGACCCATCATGAGAAGCAATGTTTCTTCCATTGGGATTACAGCATCAGTACTAGACTTTTCAGAAAGTCCTTTGAAGCTCTTGGCAATTTTAATTAAGAAATGCCAAAATAGTGATGTTTTAACCTTTTAAGTTCACAGAGGATCTGATCATGTCTGTAGTCCATGTACTGAGCTACAGGAAGGAACTGAAAGGTTGGAATTTGGAGAATACTGGGGATTCTGCAAGCGGAGTAAAGGCTCTGGCTTCTCAGCTGCTATCGGAATTGAAGCTTTCAGGTAAGCGGCACTAATGTCATATATCCCAGAGTGGCACAAAGCTCACGTAATCACCGATCTCACAAGAATTTTTTTGCTTTGGGTCCCATCTTTGAATTTAAATCGTGAGACCAGGACTTCGAAGCTAGTGCTTTGCAATTGACTTGGCAATTTTATTTGTTTTGCCTTACCATCTTTCTCTCCTAAGTTCAGGAGAGCTTTGGTTTGAAGTCCCGACTCAAGTGGACATGCAAAACTATTTATCATGGAACACGTCTATTTTATACATACCTGACTTGCAGGTCACAGCCATTTAGATGCATGTGCATGTATTTATGACTGTATGTCCTTTTGTAAAGGATAGGTTTACCTTTGCACTGTTGTAATAATAGATTTTGCTGTCTTGCAAAGAACATCTCATATGTTGTGACCAAGAGTCCGTGTTTCTTAATCATGACAGCCCAACCAATGGATGTCACGGGCAAACATTTCTCAGGTCTGTGGCTGCATCTGCTTAATGGAGTTGACACTTTACTGTCACTGGCTCCTTTTGTATGTGGTTTCATATCCATTACAATAATGGAATATTGTGTTTACACTTAAAAAGAAATCAACTGATTATTTTTCGGAGGGAAGGTACAGACTGGGAGGATTATTACTGTTTGTGTGTCTTCTTATTTAGATGGGACAAAACCTGTGGGTCCTCAGCTGATGGAGACAAATTTTGATCAAAGTGTCATTGAGGATTGGGTGTACCGAGTTCCACAGATCTCAGTATTCCTCAGTGTTGTTATCAGGCAAGGCCTCCATGTTCTGCATTCTCTCCCAGACCAAACCAAAGACATAGTCAATCTGGTTCCAGGCTGCAAAGGCATCAAAGGAAGAGGACTTGTCAGTCTCTTTGACATCCCATCCATCATATACATCAACTCCCATCTGCCTGCAGAGCTACAGCACAAGTGGCGGCTTTTATTTTCTTCCAGGCTTCATGGAGAAAGCTTTTCGCAGTTATGTGGGCATATAGTGAACAAAGGTCCTTGCATAGTGATCTTAAAGGACTTAGATGGTTATATCTTTGGTGGGTTTGCATCTCACTCCTGGGAGGCGAAGCCACAGTTTCAAGGTAAAACTCGCTTTTCTTTTTCTAGTACCTTGTGGCTCTGGTAAACAGTGCCTATTCTGTGTAGGTACAAGTCTTTTAAAAGCCTTTTAAAATTGCAGGACTTATTGATCATGGAACAAGTTTTCTTTTCAGTGAAAACTATCAATCCGTGTAGCTGCATAGGTTGAGAATGAAATGAAAATGAAGGAAATACAGCATAGAGGGTGAGTTAGCGTTTAAATAAGATGTCCAGCAGATGGCAATCTTCCATCTCAGAACAGCTGAGCCAAACACCAGGTTAAGCCTCCTATTGCCATTTGTGCACTGTCGTTGTTTCCCTTTTAAAAATCCAGCAGCAAAAGGGTCCTTTGGACAAGCTAAACTTTTTGTTCCCTTGAAACCTCTGGGGAGAAGAGAGGGGTTTTTGTAACTTTTTGGAAAGAATTTTTGTGGTGGCTTTCCAAAAAAAAATTACAGACTCTGGATAATCTGTCCTGCTGGGAATCCTCACTTTTGCTACATTAAAAACTCAGTTCCTATGCTTAATTAGTATTTGATAATTACCACTTCAGTCAGTTAATATAATGTTATGTTACATTGATTACACAGCACTTTCCTTGTATTTTTTCCTGATAGAATAACACCTGTAGCATACTAGACAATCCCACCATAGGTCCCTCTGAATACCAAACTGGGCATAATGAAAACTGGACTCTAAATCATTGACCCTAAACTGATCTGTATATCAATATAGTCAGAACTAAGGGTGTCTGCACTCCTATCAGCTTGTACGGGTCTAGCGGTTGACCAGTTTTAGATGATAAAATGCAAGCCTGTGATACGTGTACCCTTACATAGTAATGTAATGTACTAGTTATGCCTCTGACTCTGCCCTTGGTCACAGCCATATAATCACATTGATTTCGGTGACCCTGCACAGAGTTAACTGAGAATAAACAATAGGTCTAGATCTTGATGAGAGATAGGCATTGGCTTTCTGAGATTGCAGCTGCTGTCTTTGATTTATTCAGCTGCACTTCTTAAATATTTTTTTTTCTTATCCTATTTGTAGGCCAGTTATTGCTTGGCCAGTCATCTAACCTCAGATGCTTTTCTGTTTACAGGTGACAACAGATGCTTTCTGTTTTCCGTTTTCCCCTCTCTTGCTGTGTACACATACACAGGGTATAACGACCACTACATGTATTTGAACCATGGCCAACAAACAATGCCAAATGGACTTGTAAGTATTAAGAAACAACAGTTTGGACATTGGATTCGTGGCTGGTGTTCGGAGGTGTTTTGTGGTTTTTTTGCTTCTGCTACTGTGACAGATTTATTTCATTTGGTACTGGCTATTTGTGCCACACATTTAGTAGGGGATTTTTTTTCTTTTTTTGTGTTAAAGCATAAGTATAAAGTGTGAACTTTACTTACAGTACTGATAGAGTCTATACTTTTCTTTACAGTTGATATGTATATTGAAGTACTGAATCAACTAAGATGGAATTTATTTGTCTGACCCAAGTAGGTGGGCTTTATGTGGGTTATATTGATGGAGGTTTTGGGAAGAAATCTTTTTGCCAAGTTTGATTATCACAGAAGCGCTTCTAGCAGTCCTCCTGTTGCCTGGAAGAATTGGCTGCATGTATCCACCTCACTGAAGCAGCACAAGCTAGCTGATCTGTGTAACTGAGGAGCCTTCCACTGGCTGTTCTCACTGCCACACTAACTGCTTTTTAAATTATGGAAGGCTGAGAAAGCCCAACAGAATCAGAGTACAGGAGTTGCGTGTAGCCTGCTGCTGCTGTGTAATTACAGTGGCAGAAGCTCCTTTTACTCAAGTCCACGAATGAGCTCTCCAGATGCAGAGGAGTCTCTACACAGCTACAACACGTTGCCTGTTTTGAAAAGTGCCTTATGGCTTTGTGGCGTTATGAGCCCATAACTTTGGGGATTGCAGCAGTCTGGAGTAAATTTGCTCTAAAGAAAGCAAACAACATCATATTACATTACTTTTACCCCTGTTCAAAATGGAACTGTTAGTCAATAAACAAAGGTCAGTGAACTACATTCCTGGCACAAGACACAGCTGAAACGCTTGCAGATCCTGGTACTCTGCAAAGCGTAGAGGGAGGGCTCTATCAGTCAGGTGAATTCCTGTTTGTCTTCAGGAATACTGGATCTTGATACAGAAGCCCAGGTTCACTTGGAATACCCTTTCTTCACTTACTCATAGATGTGCGGTGTAAATACTGAAAATAGCAATTTTTACTCTAGGCTTTATAACTTGCCCAGTCTGTTTTACATGCACAGCAAGTGTTCAGCGTGCTGCTTTGGTTCACAGGGTATGGGCGGACAACACGGTTACTTCGGGCTCTGGATAGACAGCGACTATGGGAAGGGACACAGTAAAGCAAAACCTCGATGTACCACCTACAACAGTCCCCAGCTGTCAGCTAAAGAGGATTTTACACTGGATGCCATGGAAGTTTGGGCAGTGGGAGACCTCCCTGAAAGTGCAGGGGTAGGTGGACCTGTGGAATTGCGTCCTGATCGGAACAGGAGATGCAAAGGCAAAACTTGCAGTTGCAGTTTTCTGATTAAACACTGTCTTCTCCGTTGTAATGAATAATGTTTTGTTCAACTGGCCCTGTGATGCCATATATTTTGTAGCAAGTAAATGGCAAAACAGTAGTGAAGTTATTGAGGGTGCCAACAAGAAATAACACCAGGAGCCATGAAATGATAGAGTCAGAAGAGCCGTGCTTCATTCTGAATTTCAAAAGGCCTTTCTGATACTGAGGAATAGTGTCCAGAAGGAACCTCCTTGGAGGGGTTCATTAAAACCCAGTATTTGTAAAATGGAGAGAAAGCACTGGAAGCTCACAAGTAAAGCCTGATCTATGATTCAGGAAGAGAACTCAAAAGATTTCTTTATCATTAACTTTACTGTTGTTTTACAATAAAATTACATCAGTAGAGTTACACTAGTCTTTCTACACCTGGTTTATTTATGGGAATGAGTAGACCACCTCTTTCCAGTCTCCTCTGGCCCTGTAATTTATTCTCTTATTAAACTGTCTGGTCTGCACATTTTGGTGTTTTTTTTTTTTTTTTTAAATTTTGTTTTCATGCTAAATTCATGTGCTCTGTCTGTTCAGAGGACACATAGCTCTAAATAGAAACAGAACAAATTGTTTACAAAAAATGTTGAATTGTACTTGAATCTCTTCTTTTTAAAAAAAAGTCACGTCTGCACTTCAAACTGAGGTCAGGTTAACCAGGATGTTCTGGCTGGCTTGTAACCTGAATAAACTTGAAATAGTTCACTGTCATCTTGGGAAAAGTTTATAACTATTTTGTGTGACTGCAGTAATAAATATAATTTGATGTATCCCAGTGAATCTTAAATACCATACTTGGAAGGTATACATGCTACACTGTGACAAGCTTGCAAACCAGATTGCTTGTGGACTTTGACTATGTCTCTATCCTGTAGCCTGATAGTAATTTTGATAAATTTTAAAATATTTTTGATACTTGATTTGGTATTTTGATAGTGATTTTGATACTGATAATGAAATTTTAAATTGTCTGTATTTTATTTTGTTTTGAAGACAAAAGGCAAGAAGAGTATCCTGGATGTAGATCCTGAGGCTCAGGCCTTATTAGAAATGGCTGGAAAAAGTCGTCAGAGTGAAGGTCTGCGAGAACCCATTGAAGATGAGGATGATGATGATAACTAAAAGAATCACAGTAACATGAAAAAACTTCTTTTTGTTTTCTCCTGAGTGTTAATGTTCCTTGGACAGGATATTATTTCCTTATTTTTTTTCTCCTTACATTTACCTAATTATCTGGGACAAAGCTTAAACCTCATACTTATGTAATATTTAGGTCCAATACAGTATCCTGGGGAGGACAGAAAAATTACCTAGGTACTTAATCATTAGATATCTCTAAGTTCTAGCTGAATATGAATTTGCTAGCGTTCCTTACAGATCCTATCTGCATACAGAATTAAAAACAAAAGGTGAAGTTATTGACAGCATGGCTTAATGACTTGGAGAACTGATATGTATTTATATAAAGACTGTTCAAGACACTGATAAAGGCTCTTATACCTCAACTGTATATATTTATTTGCATGCCATGAAATTAGTCAGTGAAGCTTGCAATTTGTAATAATGTCTTACACTGATAAACATAGAATAGCACACATGATTCCATATAAAGGATGCTATTCGTTTGCATTGCTCCAGTTAAAGCATTAAATTTCATGTTTTCCAAGTCAGATTTTCAGCAAGTGACTCTCTATGGGCTGTAAGATGTCCCGCATGCTATGTATACAGCATCCAGTTTTATAATACTACACTACACTGCTCCTTAGTGCATTTCACTTCAGATTTTTCTGCAGAAATTTGCCTAGTGCTTTTTAAACTTAGAAGAACAGAACCATTGGAGTCATTCAGCCATATTTATCCTAAGAATGAGCCATACCTCCAGCAGAAATTCGCTAGGGAAGGTACCTTCTTTAGTAGCCTCACTTGAGAGCTGGACTACAAGATCAGGCTGTAAAAAGGATTGAGTAAGAAGCATCCACAGTTAATTGGGAATAGAATCTGCAGATACCTTGTAAAAAAAAAAAAAAAATCAGGATTATGTCTGTACTATGTTTAAAGACGACTGCTATACACTCTATTTCCACACAATTAATCATTACTATAATACGGAAAAAAATGCCTGCGATGTGAAATTTAGCTAGTTTTGCTCTGTTTTCTTGGCCCTTCACCAGCTGACGCCAGTTTTACCGGGTCTCTTGCACTCAGGGCTTTTTCTACTTGAATCCATTCACATCTATCAGTAGTTTGACCTTGCTAAGTCTATGTGTAATTAACTTGTCAAAATAACCATAATTTCTACCAGGGACTGTCATTTCTAACTCAGCAAATTGTGTTTGGTTATTGGAATGTATGACTGTCTTTCTCCTCCTAAGGAGAAGGACCGTATCAAGTCCCCTTTGTCCTAGCATGAGTTTGTCTTCCATGCAGCTTAGAGAAAAAACTGTGCTGTTTTATAAAATTACTGCGATTCCTGATCATGTGGCCTTCCTTCAAATTCCTTCCCTTAGTGTTTTCTTGTGTGTGGTCTTTTTTTTTTTTTCCACCTGATGTTTTTCATAGGGAGCCAGATTTGAATATGCTGAATAATCTGCATATGTGCCTTAATGTAGATCCTTTTATTAATTTTATTGAACGATATTAATTTAGCCTTGAAAGGAGAGCATGAAGAAATCACTCCAGCCAGACATCCTAGAACTCAGCCGTGCATTTTGTATGCTTCCTGAACTAATGATTGGGGCATATATGCAGAGTATGCTGTGAAGGGCCTGAGCTCATGTCCTTGTATCTTGTATTTGCTTAAGTAAACCAGATAGTCTCGCAAGTTTGTAACACATAGGGAAAAATGTAAGCATTAAAACAATTACACCGATACTTTTGTACAATTTTCTTCTCTCTATATTTTAATACGAGTTTTAAATGGTACAAAGTAGGGAGTGCTATACAGACAGCAAGTAAGTACAAGATGCTCTCTGTAAGTGTGGTGATGCTGGCTTTTGTTTTAACATTCTCCCACCGTAAGTCTCAGAGGTATTCCTCACTTAGGCACCGACTAAGCAGACCAAATACTTGAAGTGGATGGCATACAGGAATGGGACATAGTTGAATTTCTGCCGTTACATGTGAAATAAGCAACTAGACTTCCTTTTCCTTCCGTTACAAGGCAGAGACTTTTCTTTGAGGACTGAAAACATCTGCAAGGATTTTTAAAAAAAAATAGTGAGCAGACACCTTTGCAGACTACCTCTGGGGAGGGTGGCTGGCACAAAGCTACTCTTCACCAAAAAAATGTCAGTGGCCAAGTTTTCTTTTATTTAAGATAAGTATCAGTATGGCTGGTTCTTTCTAGGCTATGAATCCAAAATGTAATCCCGTTTAAACGCCATCTTGTGAAGATCAGCGTAGTCTTTTGACCTCTGTAATTGTGTTTCATGACAAGTTTGTACTCAGGACTATTCATCTTCACTTTGAAGTGAAGGTGTTAAGCTGGGGTAAGAAGAAAACTGACACTAGGGCACTTTTACCAAATGTATCAGTGAAGCATCGTTTACTCAAAACTACTGATTCAACCAGCAGATGGGATTATTCAAAATTGTTATTTAAAAGTAAAAAATTGGCTTGGAAGAGACTCAAGTTGTTTTTTTTCTGAACCTAATGATTAAGCAATCTGTGCTTTGTTTTCGTGCATCTAAAAATGTCCAGAAAGCATTTGTCAGCAGTGGGCTCAGCTATGATCTAAACATCTCTCAGTCAACTTTGATGCCAGCTGTTGATGTAACTGCAAAGCTTAACATCCCTGCTCTGTATGCAAGTCATCTTTATTCTCGTGCGCTTGTGCAAGTGAGCCCCTTCCCTGTTGAATTCACTGCTGTGCAATGGGTCAGGATCAGCCCTCTGCTTCGCTACCAGTAGCCATATAAGGTACAAAAAACCCACTGCAGTGTTCAGCAAAAGCTGACAGCCGAGGGCTTAGCTCTCTCCTCTTCCTCTGACCTCTCCCCACAGTTTCCTCGAGAGTCTTGCTGAATCAAGGCCAGGTATCTGGGCATCAAGAAACACTACAGATTGGCTATAGGAAAAGCAGCGCTAGCGAAGGCAGGTCTTTTCCATTCTTCTACTTTAATATAAAAGGACGGGTCTAAATCAAAAGTCTTATTCAGATACTTATCTGTAACATTTTAAAATGTAGATTTTATTAATAAAAATCATTTTGATTTAAATAAATATGCACAATAGATTTTTCTGTACAGGTGTGAAACTACATTATTTTGTCTGGGACTGTCACAGCATTCCTGACATACAGATCAATGTTATAAAAATATACCTGGATCTTGGTTTAAAATGGGAGCTGCTCCGGAGGTTTCTGTAGACATCTCAAACAGCTCAGGTAGAGCATGCGGAAGGACCAGACTCTGGAGCAGGAAGGATTATCGGTACGGATTCACTTGAGTATCTTCAGAAAGGACATGCAGTGTCGGGAGGTGGTGCGTTTGGATTATCCAGCATCACAGCTCCGTTCCGAGTGTAGCGTTAGAGGAAGTTTGCGTCAGTCATGACATCCCTTTGTGTTCTTCGGTCGGCAGCAGCGTTTTTCACAGAATTTGACAAACTCGGACACAATGAAAACTGAAGAAGCCAGCCCGGTCAGAAACAGCAGGTCTGCGAGAGGAAACAGAGCGGAGGTGAAGAAGGCAGAGAGCTGGATTTTGCACTGGGCAGGAATCCCCAGTTAAGGGCCTTCCTGCAGCAGGTACTTGTGCTGGTGTGACTCCGTAGATGTGTGGCCTAGCTGTGCTTTTGCTAGCTGTAGAATCAGAGAAATGACTGCAGTAGACAAGGAATACCCGTGCAGTCAGTTGGTGTGGTCTGCTTGATGGGTGGTAACCTCTATGACAATCACGTGGGATGGTTGAACCCCGCTTCTAAGGACATGCCTAATGTGGCTGCAACACAAAATAGTGTGGTAGAGTTTGCTTAGGCTGATTCAAATGGTAAAATATGCATTGCGTTTCCGCTAGGAAACATTCCCCCTGCCTTTCATAGGGAGCTCGTGGAAAACCTTGGCGTGTCTCCATTTACATGCATTTATGTGCAGTAAATCAAAACCTAGACTGCGATAATACCATTAAATACTACTACCATTTGTGTATGGCTATATGTATGTATATAGCTATAGGACCTGTTGATTGAATTCCCCTACCAGCAACCTGTTGGGAGCTCTCATGTAACAATTTGGCGATCACATCTGCTTTTTAAAATAGCTGTAATGAAAAAACCCACATTATTTATTTTGCAACTTACCTAGCGCTCCTAAATTTTTTGTCTGGAAGATCTTTTGTAATGGAGGGACGTATATGACAGCCAGCTGTCCCAGAAATGACCCAAGCACAGAATACAAGAACATACGGTTTCGAAAAAAGCCGATTTCGAATATCAACTTTGTCTAGAGAAGGGGGGGGGGAGAAAAAAAAAAAAAGGGAGAAATGTAACATTTCCTGGTCTCCTGTTGGTGCTTGAATGTCACGCTATTTCTTTGCATGTAAATGCCATTATTTTTTGAAGTTACATGAATGCTAACTTGGGCAGAGCTACAGAGTTGAAAGCATAGTTGCAGTTGAACTGTGACAGATAACTTTATAATGAAAGATGATAAAAATCATGCTGCTCTAAGTGACCTTAAAAAAACCCCCTTCCTGTGCAAAATACTAGTATTCTACTGTTTATGTCGGTGTTTTGAGGCAAGAAATAATTGCTGACAGAGTGGTCTCACCTGAGAGCGGCACGTCAGGGCATTGAAGAGGTCAAAAAATACAAAACAGGTAAAAGTCATTGTGGTGGTTCGTGGGGTTATGCCACTTTCTGAATTCTGAAAGCACATGTAAAAATTCAGGGGTTAGTTAAGCCTTACAAAAATACGTCAATTCAACAGAATAATTAAATGTTCCCTTTAATGACCCCAGTCAATTACAAGGGTAGCAAAACAAAGGCATAAATCTGGTCCTAACCATTATAGATAGCATGAATATCTCTCTGCTAATTGTTGAGTTTATGATCTTATCAACCATGTTTTAAATTCTAAAACCGATGTGGAATTTGAATAAAGAATATTCTAAATTAAATTACTTAAACTGCTATAGTAACAGCCACTATTTACTAACAGCACTTCATAGCACTTGGGTACTTGGCTTCTTCTATTTACATGGAAAGCTAGAGGTGAAAAGTACCTTAAAGCATTGGAATCGTATCAAGTAATAGTTTTCCCCATTCTAGATGGGAAGCTCCAAATTAGGGGCAACACAGGAAGGCAGAAGCAGTACTAGGAGCTGACCCTGGTCTCTTAACCCTCTGCCCGTACTGACCCTTCCCCACTGGATGCATTTCAGAAAGTCCTTTGCGTGTTCAGAAATTGCCCTTCGCTTTGCCCTCCCCCTGATGAAAACAAGATACGATTGCAGATTTTCCTCACCTCCTTCCAGAAGACAAAGAGGGTTCCACTGATGATAATTACAGCTGACATGAAGATTTTCAGGATCAATGATTTGCTGAGGATCGTGTCTGTGATACGTCGGGGTGGCTGTTTGATAGTATCCCTATCAACAGGTTCAACTCCCAAGCTGCCTCGAGGAGGAGCAGAGGGACACGTTTAGTTAATGCGGATTGTCCCGAAACGGTACTGTTGATAAAACAGGATGGATCTGGAGGACGGAATTATTTGTAGTATGGCATGAGAGACATCAGTATTCTGGCAGGGTTACATAATGCAGCTCATTATGCAAAAAAAAGACCTTCGGCAAATCTGGGGCCTTCTGTAAGTGATACATTAAATTACCGTGGTACCCGAGATCAGTATCCCATCCCAGAGGGAGAGCTAGCTGTGAGATTGTGGACAACAGCTCTTCCATGTTGTGGAAGCAGTGATTGTAATTAGCAGTAGCTGTGATTAGCAGGTGGACAAGGTTCCTAACTCTTGTGAGTTTGGGGCATATACCCCCATAGGTACCCAGTATTCCCTTGCCAGTCGGATTGGCAGGGCTACCAGCTGGTGATGCGCTCAGGACAACAGACGGTGCGTAGTGAAAAAGTGGAATAGTTAAGTGATTCTACCACAAAACAGGAATACGTAAAACCTCAAGTAAACCTGAAGTAAAAGCTTTTGGAGGGACCAGGAGGGAACAAAAGTACAACTTGTCTTATCTAACCACCAAATGATTGGTGCATTGTTAAGAAATGATAACAGCTTGTGTTCCTAAGCCAAACTCGGACAGATTAAAACCAAGAATATTTTGCTCATTTGACTCTTCCATACCTCTGGGCTGGCGGCCCATCCATGATGATGTTGATCCATAAGATCTGCATAGCGTTGAGCGGGTTTGGTAGGTTGAGCACTGTCGACAGAGTAATTAGGCTCAAAGCTGAAATGCTCCTGCAAAGTACAGAACAACATTATTCTGTACAGCCTCGCCTAAAAGGCGCCTTCACTGGAATTGAAGCAAACAGGAACTTACGTGCTCAACTGGAACCGGACAAAATTTTTTATGTTGTAAAATATGCCTTTTCCCTCTTCTATTGCATTCCTGGAAGGGAGAGGGGAGTTTGTTAAATAACTAGCACTCACACTATTTTACATTGAGCTCCCAGCGACACTCAAAACACAAGTTGTCTTCTCTAGGACTTACTTCAGATGAAATTCAGACCCCAGCTTGGGAGAAGGACATCAATGCAGCATCTCAGTTAAAATGACTTTATCAGGACCAGTAGATCTGAAAACCCTGGTTCATATGGCCAGGCCGTGGTTCATAAAGCAGGCACATGACCTATTTATATCCTCACTCTACTCTGCCTACTCTCTCTCTTGTTGTGAGCCAACAGAGCATTGCAAATGATGTCTAAAGCTTCCTGGGTGAGGCAGAGGGCACAAGTTATGGCCTACCCAGACTTCTAGGTGCTTTCAAATCCCCGGTTAGCTAAAGCAATGAGAAACCAGGGCTTCTGGATGAAAGGCAGCTTTGTCACCACTGCTTGAAACAAAAAAGTCATTGCCGTGTCTGCAGCTGAAAATGAGCCAGACCCACGCTAGGTATCTCATTTACTGCCTGTTGACTTACATGTCCTGCATCTTGTGTCATTTCCAGGGCTAGTCATGTAACAGACCCGTTGCAATGGATAGGCAGAAAGTATCTGAAGTAAGAAAGTGTCTGACAGTAAGAAAGTTGCTAAACCTACATTACTGTTGAGAAGTCATCGTCCACGAGAATCATGTTGGCAGCCTCTTTGCTGACATCTGTACCAGCTTGTCCCATCGCAATCCCAATATCGGCAGATTTAAGGGCCACGGCATCGTTAACACCATCTCCTGTCATTGACACAACAGCACCAGCCCTCTGCAAAGCCTGTGAGAGTGGAGAGATGAGAGGCTCTGAAGCCAGGAGAAGCTAGGTAAGTCCTGTTGGCAATCACAGGATTTGCACGTCGTATTGAAAGAGCAGAAGTGCTATGTGACTTTGAGGGTAAAGCAGACTCAGCAGCCCCTTGAGGACAAAACAGCCCAAGAATGAAGAGACCAGATTTTCAGGAGTATAGAGAATCTCACAACTCTAGCAGGAGTTAGAAGAGGAGAGCGGAGTCCTCTGAAATCATTCTCTTGATATTATGCTTGCTCATATCTCATTAGTGTCTATCAAATGACCCAGGCCAGGTCTGCAAGAGAAATGCTAATGTCTTTGGTGTAAATAGTGCAAATTCTCTAGCTTTTGTGGTCCTTTAGTTTGAGCTGATCCTGTCTTGGAAGACCAGGTGGTCTAGAGAACTACGGGGCACCCCTCAACATCTTGTTTTTGTGAGGCATACAATGGATTTGAGAGGCTCTTAGTACCTTTATGATTTTTAGTTTGTGCTTTGGACTTGTTCTGAAGAAAATGGAAACCTGAAAAACAAAAAAATACAGTCTTGTATTAGATGGATGCTACTGGAAATGGAACCAGACCTTGTTATTGTAAGCAAAACCATTACATTTTTGACAGTGGATGATAGCTCTGCCTCTGCCAATTGGTCCAGCTCTTCCCCAGACATGGCTTTCAGCTTCCCATCGCAGAGA